GTTTTAGTCCATTTCCATTTCATTGCTCTTGCAACGGTAACCCTGCCCCTAAAGGAAACCACGGCTTACTAAAAACACAAACAAGCAAGCCACCCCCCCATGGTTAAACAGGTTGTCCTCCCCCCCAGAAAAATCTCTAAAATGTCTTTCGTTTGCCCGTGTTCCTTGTCTATGTGATGGAAGTGTCGCAGGCCAGGAATTCAAGAGATTTGGGGAATCTTGCCTCGAAAACGGGGAAGAGGAGTATGGATTACTGTAGGGTGGATTTAGCTGAAATTTGGGGTGGGTGAGACTGTAGTCTCTGGGCGGGGTGCCCAGTTGAAGGACAGTGGCTTACGTTCCTTGCTTTTCCTTTGCAGGTTATGCTCGTATAATCTTCGCTTTCATTGCGTTTTATTTTATGCCAACCTCTCCCTCGATTGCATCTTCTTTCTACCTACTTAGTGGCTTCCTCGATGCCTTTGATGGCCACGCTGCCCGGGCTCTTAACCAAGGTAGGACAGAAGGAAGGAATCATCCATATATGAAACGATACAATACTAAACATATAAACTCTGGCTGTCAAGCTCTGTGTTCCTTGCTTTACCTCGGAGAACAGCACCAGCTCTCCAACAGACGAGGTTCCTGTTAATTGGGACGTGATCCTTTTTCGCTGAAGTTGGCCCTGGGACTTTCATCTTTAAAATACGGGATCCATCATTAAGTCCTTGTCCCTTTCCCACTAGAGAACTGGTGTATTGTTGAGGGGGCCATTTTTATTCTCCCTTCCCCTATGATCTGGATGTTTGATTTTTATGGTATTAATGTGTTTTTTAATATTTTTTCTGTTGTTTTTATATTTGTGTTTTTATCTGATTGTTGTATGCCACCCAGATTTGCTTCAGTGAGATGGGCGGCTCTATAAATTTGTTTAATCAATAAATAAAGTGTATTGTCATGGTTGGTTACAACAGTGAGCCAATCTCAGTAGTTTGAGTTCACTAGATTGTCATTCACCCCTGCCCTCTTCCCAAATCTGTAAATTAGTGATGAAGATCCTGACCTACTTCACAGTGTTGTTTGATTGCTTTGGAAAAGATTCGAATTCTTCTGTATAATGAGGGAGTAGCATTCCATATTTAGAAACATTTAATTCATACACATTTAAATCAAGACAGTGCAACCCTTACCTCTGGAAATGTGGGGTGAAGATTCTGCATCTAGTTTTTATATCAAAATCTGAATGCTAGATCTTGTCAGCTTTTATTTTTTCTTTTCACTCAGAATAAGTTATGTTTCTATAGGTAATAGTTTGATTGATTGTTTGATTTAAACAAGGATTTGTTATAACACCTACCCATTAGCATCTATGGGATTTACTGAAAGAATCAGAGCATATAAATCAAGAACTCTTGCACAGTGAATAAGAACTCCAATAAAACAGGATCTATAAAATAAATTGTAGACGTGAATGTGAAAGACAAACTCCCTGTAATACACTATAATATATGAAAAGAAGAGGGGTTGCTTTTAAAACTGCTTGGCAGGGTTCCTTTCCTAAGGCTTCTCTTTGCCTTACCCTTAATTAAGTAACCAAGTAATAAATTAATGAAATAATTAAGCTTACTTAAGTCATGCTTCCTTTCGTACCTTTGGATTTGTCATGCTGGTCTCTCTAAAAATTTTCAGCTCCCCTCTTGAAAAAAGCAAATTAACAGCTTTCCACAAAACAAATCACGTTTACATTTCTTCTCAAGATCTAACTAATCCCAGCAGCTCTTGCGGTTTTCTTACTGAGACCCTGGAAAGGCATGTTGATCCACCAAGTCAAAAGCAACTCAACAGCCATTTGAAGAGAGCAAGCTGGCTAGGGAGTTGTGGCCCCAAGACCTCAGGGACTACAGTGCCAGGTTGAGGAAGGGTGAGATGATCTTTGATCTAATCATATGAATACTTTATGTTCTTATTTATGGCAACTAATTTATGGCCAAGTCTAAAGAAACGAGCTGTTTTGGTCACCAACTGGCTGCTACAAAACATTGCCAAATTCTTAACCGTCCATAGTAAATGGCTAATGAGTTGAATTTGATGCAGACAGGCCACACATTTTGCAGGGTCTGCAGGATCCTGTATGCATATTTACCCCATTAATGTCTTTTTCTAATGTACTCAAAGTATTGTTCCTCTCATATAAAAATATTTAAGTAGCAGTGGTTGGGGGGAAAAGAAAGGAAGAAAAAGGAGAAGAACAAAAGGGGCGGGGGCTGCTTGAAAGTCTTTTCTTATAGAGCCAAATATTTTTTCTGTTTCTTTTAATTAAATTAAATTAAATTTTCATTTTTCTTTTTCTTTTTTTATTAAAGATTTTCACAAAAGTAAAAAAACCCCATGAAATAATTATAGAGTAAGATTAAATGAAAGAAAAAAGATATAAAAGTGTGAAAAGAGATACAAATAGAAAAAAGAAAAAATATGTAAAGAAGCAACTTCCGATCAAACAAACTTATTCTTGCTCCTCCCTCATTAAAATTACATCACAATTCCCTTCTTCCCATATTCCACCCTTTTTAATCAGCAAATCCATAAATCACAAATTCATTTTTTTCCATTTTCAGCAAAAACCCGTAAGATGTTTCCAGTCTTTAAGTACTTGTCTTATCTCTGATCAAGCAGGTCAATTTTGCCATTTCCACAATTTTTTTTCTAGATTTTTTTTTTAATCCCGCCTTTATTGCTTTTATAAATAACTCAAGGCAGTGAACATACCTGATACTCCTTCGTCCTCCTGTTTTCCCCACAACAGCAACACTGTGAGGTGATTCTCTCAGCCCAACCAAATTCCATCATCTTCACACTCCATTGTAGGTATTTCAGTATTTTTCTTTGTCATATAATAATCTTGCTGCAGTTACCGTATAATCTTCCATGAGTCTTTTCTAATTGGCTATTCATAAATCCCAGTAAGAAAAGTTCTGAATATCAGTCTTTAAGACTCTTTGTATCATTGTATCCTCTTTTTTTTTTTTTGCTTTTTTGCAAATCCACCATGCGTGGTAAAAATAACCCTTCATGTTTTCCACATTTCCAACACTTATTAGAAGTACCTTTATACATCTTAGATCATTTCTCTAAAGTCATATACCAGTGGTACATCATTTTGTAAAAAATCTCTTTTAAATTGTAACACAATGTGAATTTCAGTCCTTTTAACCATATTCTGTCCCATTGGTCCATCTGTATATTATAACCAAAATACTTAGCTCATTTTATCAAGCACTCTTTAACTTGTTTTTCTACCATTTCAAATCTCAGCAGAGGTTTATACATTCTAACAATCACATGTTCATAATTTGTACAATTTCAAATTCCATTTTCTGTTTTTCAATTCCAATTACTTTTTTATCCTTATTAATTCTTTTTCTTAGATGTGCATATGAAAACCATTGAAAACTAAATCCCTCTGCAGTTAGTTGTTCTCTTGACTTCATTTTAAGTTCCCTGTGTTCCTGTAGCAAATATTGATATGTTACCATTTCTCTTTGAAGTATATATAGATTTCACCCATTTAATACATTTTTCTCCAAAGTCCATATCTTCCAGGATTTTAAACAAAAAAGTCCAGTTCAAATGATCAAATGCTTTTTCTGCGTCAAGGAAAACCATTGCAGCTTGTTTTTCATTATGTTGCTCCAAATATTCTAATATATTGTATTAGGATATTTGTAATATTGTCTCTTAATTGTCTTTTAGGTAAAAAGCCACACTGATCTTCATGAATAAAGTCTTGCAAGACACTTTTCATTCCAGGATCTTCGTAAATATCTTACAATCAATATTCAATAAGATATTGCTTGATAATTTTTTGGTAAAATCAGGTCTTGACCTTCTTTAAGAATTAATACTATATTTGCACCCGTCCAGGTGTCTGGTATTCTTCCATTGTCTAAAATAGAATTCTTCATTTTTTGAAAAGATTGTAACAGTTCATCCTCAAAGTATTTATAATAGGAAGCTGGCAGTCCATCTGGCTCAGGCATCTTCCTTATTTTAGTCTTTTTTATAGCCTCACAAACTTCCCTTATTGTTATAGGTCCATTCATCATCGGCTTTTGTTTATCTGTTATCTTTGGTAAATTTTGTTTCTTTAAATATTCATCCACTTTTGCCAGGAAAATTTCTTCTTCTTTATATAATTTTGTATAATATTGATGGCATATTCTTTGCATACTTGCATTATCTGTTACTGTAGTTTTCCCATTTTGTAATTTTAATACCATTTTCTTCTCACTTTCTTTTCATAATTTATATCCCAACCATTTCCCTGGCTTATTTGCTAACTCAAAATTGTTCTGTTTTACGAAATTCATTTTTCCGTTTCTCTTATCGTTAACACAGAAAGCTGGCATTGTGTAAGTTTAATTTGCTGAATGACATTTTTCCTTCCTGGAGATCTCCTTAATTCTTCCTCTTTCAACTTTATCCCCATTAAAATCTTTTGCATCTTCTCCTGTCTTTGTCTTTTCAGTTTACTATTTTGCTGTATAAATTGCCCTTTCATAAAGGCTTTATTAACATCCCATATTGCCATTATATTTGTGCCTTTATTAAGATTATTCTCAAAAAATTCTTTCAATTTCTTTTTACAGTCTTCCATTATTGATTCGTTTTGTAGCAAAGTCTCACTTAGTCTCCATCTATAAGTTTTAAACTCTCCTCTTGTATGCTAAAGTCACTGGGTTATGATCTGAAAAAGTCTTCGGCAATATCTCCATTTTGTTAACACATGTAGCAAGATTTTGGATGTAGATATCCAAAATATGTCTATTCTTGAGAAAGATCTGCGTCTTTCAGAGAAATAGGTGTATTGTTTAGAATCGCCATTTTTATGTCACCATACGTCTATAAGATCAAAGTTGTCCATCATTTCAAAGAATATTTTCAGTAATTTACCTTGCATTGTTTTAATTCCTTTCACAGTTCTATCTTTTTGTGGCCAGACTACTCCATTCCAATCTCCCAGTAGACACCAATTTTCATTAGACTCCCAGTAGACACCAATTTTCAGTTAGACTCTTATGGACAAATGTATTAATTTGTCCATAAGTCCTTTATATAACATGGCTTTATTTTCAATTGGGGCATATATTCCCAGTATCATGATCTTGGTTTCATTCAAATTAATTTCAACCCCCACATATCTACCATGGTCATCCGTCAATATCAATTTTGGTTGCAATTGTGAGTTTATATACAAAATAACTCCACTTTTCTTACTTATCCCCACTGAAATAAATTCTTGACCCAAATTTTTATAAATCAAATACTTTTTTGTCCTTCTTTCTTATATGTGTTTCCTTTAAACAAATGACATCTTTTCAACTTTTTCAAATAATGAAATGGCTTTTTTCTTTTGGGGGGAGCATTTGCCCCATTTATATTCTGTTTATATTTCATTTTTCTTAATCACAGTATTGGATATGCAGTATCTTTTGAGTTCTCGTTTCAGCCCTCACCACAGTGTGGGGCTTGTGCAACAGCAATAATAATATTAATTTTTTTTTAAAAAAGGATCAATAATGACAATCAAAAATGACTTAGGGGTTATGTTGCTACGTATGTGATTGCATGTATACTATTCCTTCACCTCTTTTTCTATGTTTTTTTCTTGTTGCTTTTTACTTAATAAAAATAAAAATTAGATTAAAAACACCAACAAACAAAACACCCTCAAGCATTGTTCCGCTCCTAACATGTGGCCTTCCTCCTAGGCACCCGCTTTGGGGCCATGCTGGACATGCTGACTGACCGCTGTGCTACCATGTGTCTGCTGGTGAACCTGGCCATGCTCTATCCGGAGTCTGCCCTCTTGTTCCAACTGAGCATGAGTCTCGATGTGGCCTCCCATTGGCTGCATCTGCACAGGTATCAGCTGGGGAAACCGCAGAGCTTAACGGTCTTTGGGAGTAGAGAAAGGCCAGGTTATCTGACCACCTAACCTGGGGTTTATATGCTTGAGGCCTCCTGGCTCATGGTCTTCCGCAAGAATTCAGAGTGGCCCCGGCCGTAACTTTTAATGTGACAAAAGAAAGACATTATGAAATATGTGGGAAGGAATCCTATTAATTATTCAATAATGTTAATGCAGTTTCAGGGTAATGATTTTGATTTTTCTCCAGGCTTTGCTTACCTTCTGAAGTGTGGCTCCTGACATGCCGTGCACATCCCCCAAAGTTGTGCACCTCTTATCTAACTCCATATTGTATATCGTGACTGACAATAGCTGCCAGGAAGATTTTTTTCCCCCATCTCCTGCCATCTAATCTTTTTTAACTGGGGTGTTTACGGGTTGAGCTACAGGCCTTATACATGCAGGGAGGATGTTCTATCTGTCCTCTATTATCCCTCTGTGAGGAGACAGTGAAAAGGAGTGCCATTAATTTTGTTGTTGTTGTTGTCAAGAGATTGTCCCACCAGGCCTGAAACAAAGTTTTATGGAACTGAGTGGTCCTCCTTCTAAATCAGTGTTTTTCAACCTTCTCAAATTTAAGATGTATGGACTACAGCTCCCAGAATTCCCCAGCC